CCGAGTCAGTAGCAGTATTGTATGGAACCACAAACTGAAATACCTGCAAGCTAAGCATTTCATTGATAGAAAGTCGTAAAAGATAGTAGAAGAGGATGAGGGAAGGAATCAGCTCGGAGGAAACACTGCCCCGTGCTCTGAAAGCCCAATGGTAAGGGACAAAGCGCATGACAGGTAGGATGATCTCAATTTCGCGTTATGATGAACCGATCCTGTCTCAGGGGTATAGGTACTTTTTCCCTCTGTAGACCGTAGTGGTGCGATATCCCCTACAGCGGAAGTCTCTTGTGCGATTACTCTTTTGCAGACCTCCATGGATCTTGTAATGTAGATGTCCAAGAACATCATACATACATCCTTGGAAGAGGTGGCAAAGGGTCTCCTAACCGGTACTACATACCCAGTTTCAGTGGGTGTTCCTCATTTCTACGCATATAACATAATCATAGAAGAGAGGTTTTGCTCAAGTTTAGAGGCCGACAAATGTACAAACCGGCAAACGAATCTACGAACTAAATTTCTGCTTTAAGCATGAAAAGGGTGTCTATTCCGCCATGTCTGTATGAGTTATACCGTGAAAATCTTTTATTTCTGTGTTTGCAACGTCATCTCATCTTATCTCTATCCAAGGGAGTATAAAAGAAGACATAAGCCGAATGAAATTCATTTTCATCCAAAATAATCCCATCGGCTACCGTATTCTTCTACTAGCTGAAAATACAGTAGCTGGAAAAGGGCGTTTTCGTTCAGTAGGCCTAGTGATATCCGCCTAGAGAAATGGTATGTTGTGCGTCGATTTTTTGTTTTCGTTGATCAAAAAGTTTGGTATCTCATTGTAAAATGATTCGCACAGCTTTAAGAAGTGAATTTCGATGGGAAGTGTCTTTTCCAGACTTCCAAAAATGACTCACTGGCTGTAGAGAACAAAAATGAAAGCGGAGTGAGTCGTTTATTCAAAACTAAACAAAGTCCTGTATGTTCAGCTGTACTGAAAAGTCACAGAAAATGATTGTTGCACTTTCAAGTTCGATTTCATCCCTGTCCGCTCCATGAAAAACATGGGACAGGATGATCTTGGGCCCGATTTGCTTGAGTTTGCCTTTTACTAGATCCGTACAATCACTGAGAACCACCTCAAAATTTTTGCACATAAGGCGCAAGATATGTTGACCGAGAGAGCATTCGGGAACATCTCTTTCATTCATGATATCGGTAACTTCTCTCACATCGCCCTGGCTTTGAAAGTCTATGTCTATTTTTTTTGAAAAGGATGCCCTAACAGTTTACATCCTAAAAGCATCCCATCAGTTGCTCTAGAGATACTCGTGGGTCTCCATTGCGCCCTTTAAATCTTGATTTCTGAGGGCATAAACAGTCCACTTGGCAACCGCACAAGATTTCGGTCCCTGTGTAAACTAGTGGTTTCCGTGGACTATGAACGCCAGTACAAATTTCGCACTGCAATGGGAAGGTTGGTTCTACAGTGAATTGTCGGACCGCCAGTTAGAACATGCGCTCACGAGCTGTTCCTCCCTCGAATGCGGCAGACTGCTCTGCCGAATTTTTGTCTATGAATGAGGCACACCCTTGTAGTCAATCGAAGGATCACGAATTTGTTTTTATCAACGGGGTATCATTAGACTTTTTGGAATCTGATACGATATGATCTAGGAATATTTCTTCATGAGTTCAAAACCTTCGAAGCATGGTCGGGTCTATTCTAATACTTTCACTCTTCGCCTTTGTGATTCCGATCAATCGATCAATCGATGTTATCGATTGGTGGAGTGTTTGTGGGAATCATTCTGAGCTCTCCTCAGCAACAGAGATTGGTGAAGAACACTAAGTGATCTGAAAAATCAGAATTAAGGCAAGCTATCAGTGGATTCTGAGGACACTTTCCAGCATTAATACCGATCGACGATATCGATCGGTATTAATAGATCCTTGGGGACTACTACGAGCTGGAATCCTCAACGAATGACTGCTGTAGATCGGGCACCACGAACAGGGAATTAGAAAATTGCTTGCGTGTTCCTTCTTAAAATCGTGATCATGGAGACTAGCTTAGGTGGGCCGCCAAACGATGTTGAGTGAGTAGTGCTCACCCGATATTCCTCTAAGATGGATATTTCAGGCACAGCTATCGACCTGTCCTTCATCAGCTGAATTACCGAAGACGAAAACAGGCGAAGCATGGAAAATACCTTTGAAATCGTCGACCAGAGCAGGTACCTAACTAATACACCGCAAATGTATCACGCGTTCAGAGTGCCAAAGCATTTGCAGCTGATATGTGCGTCATTTGGGCTCAAAGTTGCAGAATTCTGTGGTTTTACAATCGCTCTTGAGAATGTAGAATGGGAGAACGCATCAGGGGAAGGGGCTCACCACTGCTTTGCTTCCCTAGTTCCAAAAGCGAGGATCCTTTGACGGTCAACTAAATCGCTCCATTCAGGATCGGACATAGTCCTCTCAGCAGGAGGAGGGCAGAATAAAAATAATCAACTGGGTTTCTCGAATCCGCTTCCAAACAGTCGACCCCAAGTCAGCATGTCACTTTCAACCTGCGTCACCAATGAGGTTGGTTACCATCAAAGTCATCTACTCAATCTTATCTCTTTAAACGAAAAGAGGCCTCTCTGTGTGACCCACTCATTGCGGTAGAGCTGTTCATGATAACTCGTCCAGCGTGGGCGGTGCCTAATGACTGTCACAATTTGAGTATTGTTGGTCTATGTGTGTGTGACTGGAACCAAAGTTTTTCATATGCAAAAGGTATTGAAAACTCGTGGGAAAGCCTTTTCACTTTTTTTCAGAAAAAGCCACTATCACAGTTCACGATTCCACTGAAGCGTGCCGCTGGAGATGAACGAACACAGCCAGGTATATTGAATTAAGAGACCACAACTCTTCTTAATTATTCTATTTCTAAATCGTTTTCAGAGAAAAAGAAACCAGATGTGGCTTTCCTCCTGCCAAGTGCACCTCCAGTGAGAATCAGTCGCATGTCTGGTCTGTCAGCCGAGCAGCATGAACGCATCGCGGCAGCTAATGCAAAGAAAATGTAATTTGTTGTGAATACATTAATTTCTTGCCATTAAAGTTAGGTGGGGAACGTCCGATATTATCGCCGATAAATAAGGTGCGCCGCACACGTTGCGCGCGACGCGCCTTGTTCATGTTACGGGGTTGCGTATTACTCCGTGTTACACCACCGTCATGCTATTTTTAACTAGCCATAAGCCACATGGAGGGAATGGTACCAGAGTGGGCGAGTTTCCAGCTTTCCCATGAGGTAATCATATCACCCACCCAGATGCTTCTACCATGCTAGGGCTTACTTGAAAAACTACATCCCCCTGGAGAACCGCATAGGAGCGCAGAGATGGCCGGCGCCCACACTCCTATTGGTCTCCGCTTCATTGTTAGTATTACACGGACACTACTACGGACAAACACGTAGAACCGCGTAATTCTCTTATTATACTGACACTGTTATGCAAGTCCCCCC